CTACAAAACAAAGAGTATGACTAATAGAAACAAGTTCATTATTATTATTATTTGTATTATTTTTATTATACTTAGCTGGAAGAAGCATAGTGTGTTGTAAAAAATAATTAATTTTTCCTGGCCAATGAATTGCTTGTTCATTTTTATCTCTAAATAAAGTTAAAAAATATGTACCTAAATCAGAACGAGTAAGTTCAGATCCAAAATATTCACCACATAATTCTAAAGCACTAGCTTTTATAATTCCTTTTGAAACTAAATATGAACTTGAATCATTAGATACTTGTCCTTCAGCATAAAATTTAAGATTATTATTTGAATATATTTCAGTATAATAATCAACTAATAATTTTAAATTATCATTTGATAAATATGCTTTGGAAAAGGGTTTAATTAATCTTCCAGGATAATCTTCAGATCCAGTAACAAAAAAATTAATATTAGTAATAGAATATTGAAATTTTATTATTTTTGGAATTGTATAATTATATATTGCTAATGTTCCTTTTGCTAATTGTTCATTTTGTAAATAATCTAAAGAAGCTTGTGCAGTTGATGCTAATGTTGGTTTTATTTGATCTGTCTATAAATTTCAATTTGTTGATTTATATAATTAAGCATATCCAATTCAATAGTTCTTCCAGAAGTATAAAAACTTGCAATTTGTCATTTAACCTTTCATAAGCATAGCACCAATAACTATACCAAGAACCATAATTTAACATATCATCTTTTAAATGTAAATGATAATGCATATTAGGTGTTATTATTTTAGAACCATATAATTTTTGAAATTCTTTTAAAAATTTTTTAAATAAACTATGTCCATGATTAATTTCTTTAGTTGTAATTATTCGTTGTGACATAATTGATACTGCATTTACAAAATATGTCCATACTTTTTGATCTTGAATTGGTAAAATATCTCTTAAAGCCATTGTTGAATATATTAGTGTTTATGTTTTCCATTAATCGGATGTGAATCCTGAAAAGCTAGATGCTATTTTATGTGAAATCCTTCCAATACTAGCAGGTGGTGGGCCATTATTAACAATATTTTGAATATTAATAAGCTGATTTTTTGAAATTAATTCAGTTTCTATTGTCCAAATTTTCATAATTTTACAAGCTGTTCCAAGAAAAATATTATGCATCGAATCAAATACAGAAAATGTTATTGGATCAAAATAAGATAATTGAAGAAAACTTGACCATTGAATACCATATTGATCAAACAACTGTTTATGCTCACTAGATATAGAATATTTCCATTTCTCAGCTATTATTTTATGTTCTTCAATATTTCGTAAAGAATAATTATCAATGTTTGATTGATCTGAAGTATCATTAGTTTTAAAATTTTTTTACATTTAAAACATGCATGTTTAGAAGAATGGCTGGAAAATCCACAAATTTTATTTCTTGCTGGTGTATCACATGAAACTAAAATTAAAGCTCCATAGTACATTCTTCTAGCTGGGTATTTTATAGTTGCAAATGATTGACCAGCCTATAATTGTTTAAGCTTATCAACTAATGGATCCAAATATAAATTAATTTTTTCTGTAGGTGGTTCCTTTGGTCCAAGAATAAGACTAACAAAAATTGTGTTTTCTTTTTTATATCTTAAGTAATGTGGCAGATTTAAAATAGTTAAATAAATGCCAACAATTGAATAAACTGTATGTTTAGTAACTTTAAACTAGTCAATATTAATTGCAAAGCCAATATTAGGTTTGTGTAAAAATTTTTAAAAAAAAAGTTCTTTTTGATCATTTTTAAAAGTTTTCCATACTTGTCCGTTATAAAGATCAGAAAAAATATCAGATGAAGTGTTTTCTCTTTCATAACAAGATTCTAACAATTCTTCAAAACTAGATCATTGCAATAAAGTAGCTAATTGACTTAAAATTAATTGATATGGATATACTTTAATTGGTTTGTAAATTATTTTTCCTTTGCTTGTTCTAATCAGTTTTTTTAATAGTGTTTTACATTCACTACAACTTGCTTGTGAATTATTAGATATACTTTCTAAATTAGTTAAAAAATGGCATTTTTCATATACAACAAATTGTATAATTGTTTTTTTAAATGACATAGCATCTTTAGCTTTATATAATGTCTCTGGAAAATTTGAATCATTATTAAATACTAAAGCTTTAATAAATATTAATAAAGCTGTAATTGCAGTATATGGTAAAGTAAAAGCTTGTTGAAAAGAAAAAATCTATAATAAAACCCATTGAATTGTCAAGTTAAAAGAATCTTTAAAAGTATTTGATAATATAGAGTATAGTATATATTTGGAATTAGGTTGAGTATATGTTTTAGTATTTTTAAAGCTTAAAATTGTTTCTTCTTCAATATCACTATCTTCTAATTCTATATCATCAAGTAGTCCAGTATCTCTTATAAATAATGAATCTTCAAAATCATTTTCTTGTTTAGTTTCAGTTTCACTATCTTCTTCAGAAGAACTATAATTTAATACTAATTTAAATTTTTTTATTCGTTCTATCTCTTTATTATCTATTTCTTCTGCTTCATGTTCTACTTCTTCATTTTCACCTTCTTGCTCAATTCTTTGTTCAATATTACATGCTAAAAATGATGTAGTTAAGTCTTCAGCAGATGATATTGATAAATTAAAGCTTTGACTAGTAGATAATAATGGTTCTCTAGTTTCTTCTTGACTATTATCAATAAAATGATCTATTCTTCCAAATTCTTCTTGTCTATGTAATCTTTCTGTTTGAGTACTCACAACTTTTTCACTTTCACCACAAATAGAGCAATAACACCAAACCATATTTGTTTATAACTTTATGGTAATTAAAAAAATCGAAATATATTTTTCTTTTGATTTAAAAACAACTAATTTTCTATGTTATTGCTAAGAAAATAAAATGTAGAAAATGTTTTTTTAATATTATATTGTTTTTTAAACTTGGCTCTTGTCATTTAATAAATTTTTCACAATATATATTTACATTTTAATATCCAAGATGTATTTTTTTTTGCCTAATAATAAATTTAAACCACAATCAAATATATATTTTCACTATATTGAAAAAATATATAGAAAATTTTAATATTATGTAGAGTTTTAGCAAATGTTAAGTTTGGTTTTTGATATTTAAAAAAAATTAATTATTACATACAATTATATATTCAATATTTAGATTTGTATTCTTTATTACTATTTTTTTTGTACGTTTTTTTATGCTAAAAAAAAGAGCGTGTGTTAATTTATTTCTCTTCTATTTATATAGCTATTTACTATATTACATATAGTAGTTAGTTTATTTAAACTATAATAACCTTTGTATATACGTATATATAATATTTGTATATATGAATATACGTAATAAACAGGTCAATCATTGCATTATTATATTCCCACTCACACACTGTTGCAACTGGGAAAAGTTTCCAATTTCACAATATTAGTTTAGCTTAAAGTTATAAATGTAAGCTTGAGTTCAAGTCATAAAAAAAGGTAGATTAGTTGGATAGCATTATTCTATAGATTGTTGTTATATAGATTGTATAATAATTTATAAGTGAATAAATACATATGTATATGCAAAATATTTATAATTGTCGATCTAGCCAAGACTTAGACTATATAGTAGATCTGAAATTATTAAGGTTGAATTTCTAGATACAGAATATAACATTACAAGCTATCAGCATGCTAAATAAAGGTTATAACAGATTTGAGATTATTGTAGAATTCTATTTTTCCAAACGCAACCTTTTTAATAGACATCTGGTTTTTTATTTGTTGATTAGTTTGCATATTTGTATGCCTGCCATAGTAAGTAGACTAATCTAGATTATAATTGATAGAGTACATATTATTAATAATTTGTTATTTTGTCATTTTTATTATCATTATACATGAAATAAATAAGCTTTTTTTTTTAATAAAATACAAAACTTGTTGAAACAAGTATAGATTAACTTAATCTATTCTATATTTAACTATGAACTCATACCCCAAAATTCCAGGTTGGAACTATAGTCAGATGGGCCAAAATCGATAGATTAACTTAATCTATTATATATTTAACTATAAACTTATACACCAAAATTCCAGGTTAGAACTTTGGTCAGATGGGCCAGAATCGATCAATTTGCCAAAGATTAATTAAGTAAAATGTGCCTAACTGATAATTTTACTATAGCTTTTGCCAACCAGTATAGCTAACTCTATCTCAAATACTGATGCATTTTGATTTAGACTCTTCTGTATAAAAATTTTTTACAGAATAATCTCTAAAATTCTAAGTCAAAATAGCTAGAATAGCCAGAATGCAACATAGTTAGGATTGGGGTTAGCTATTCTCATTAATAGAGCTATAGTAAAATTATCTGTTAAACATTTTTTATTTGATGAATAACTGTTTTATTAATAAAATTCTTAGTAATATTTGGCAAAATCGATCAATTCTGGCCCATCTAACCAGGGTTCCGAAGTATTCTGACCCAGGATCTCCCTGTATAAGTTTGTAAAAAATTTTAACAACGGAATATTGTTAGGTAACTTCATATGATTGGTTAGAACTATTTGCAAATATGATATATTGGTTAGATCAGAAACCTTTATTATTATGCATGCAGAGTTTATTATCACTTGTGCATAATCTTTTTATCTAGCTATATATATTGAAAATTAATTTAATACGTACATAAATCAGCAAGATCAAATAAATAAAATAATCTCTATATATATACAAACCTGTATGATTATTTAAAAAAATATTTGTATGAATTAGCATTTTGAATATCAATATGAATATTTAATAAGTTATTAAAACAGAAAAATAGTACTTTATATAATTTAATTTAAAAAATATGCTTGATATTCAATCTTACTAAAATAATCTGAAATTGCTTTAGTATCATACAACTTGCTAGTATATATGTCTTGAGAATATATTTGTTCAATTAATTCTAGTTTAATTTTATTAGCTTCTAAAATTTGGTTTTTTGACTTTATTATCATATTCTTGACCTATTTTATTTAATCAATAAGTAATTATAACAATAATTTCAGTTGCAGTAGATCATTATCATGATCTTTATTCACATATCTCATAGCTAATTTAATATAACAATCAGGTTCTAAACATGGGTTTACCACAAAATCTCGAAAACCATTTTCCCGAAAGAATATAATACCGACTAAATTGGCCAGCATTATAACTAATGCTGGTTAACTTTGTCGATATTGGGTCCTTTCGGGAATCTGTCTTTCGGGATTTTGTGGTAAAACCTCTAAACATTTATGTCTTGATCCAATTATCACCAAAAGAACTTATTATTCTATTAGTTCTGTCGTCATAACCTACCTGATAAACCCGTTATTGGATGGCATGTCTTGAATGTATGCCAGGTTAATGGCGCAGTTAGTCTAAGCCACGCCGATCAAAATATATACGTAAGTATGTGCGTAACTGATTAATATAATTAACTTTTTATTACTATTATTGATTTTTTAACTATTATTTACTTTTTCCATATTAATTTATAATATTACCTTTATTTATTTTCTTTTACCCCATTAAAGAAATTTCAAAAATGGTATGGACGAACTTTTGTGTATATAATACTACGTATAATATTATTTTAAGCGTAGCAACAAAACTGGTGTTAATATAATGATATGAAATTATCTAACGATTAAAAAAAGTTTCAAAAAATAAATATCTACTGCTAAACGAGAGGGAATTTTTTTTTAAGAATGTCATATATCCAAATATTAACACAGTTCTAATTACTTAACGATATTCAAGAACTTTTTTTGATGGGTAGATATTTTTTTATCAAATTTTTTTTTTTTTTATGGATAGATATTTTTTTTTGCTTGATAATTTCAATGTGAAATGAAATTTTCTAATTTGATTTCTTTGATGACACTTCAATAATCATTAGATTTATACTTGGGATTCTTTACCTGAAATTCTAAAAACGATGCTTCCTCAACTGTATACATATTTAATCAAAAACTTTAATCAATTACATCTTATCGGACAGTTGAAAACTTTGAGATACCTGTTGTGCTGATAGGCGGCTACTAATGGCAGTGTTACCGAAATACCGGGATTATTGGATTTTTGTCTAATATGCAGTTTTAAGATTTTTTAAGGTTTTCTTTATTGAATTGAAACGACCTTTTTTATTAATATTTTCTTAATTTTTTGAGAAAAGAGAACTAACTCTCTTCCCCATTTTCCCGATCCCTTATATACATATCCTTTGACTCTTAATTAATTACATCATATCGATCATACAATATCACTTAAATAAATCACATCATAAATTGATCATATATTTAACTTTTCTTATTACATATATTTTATACACCACAAATCTTCGATCAATCTTTAATCATTACCCCGATCTGCCCCGGATTTTCAAGTACCTGTGCCTCGATCGACGATGCACATGCCTACGGCAACTTATCTTTCGCACGAACCCAATTCTTAAGTCTTATTATTGTCATATACGTATTATTGTCATTACTATCGTTATTTTTATTTATATTTATTTATTTATTATTATTGTTATTTTATATTATTATTATTATTATTTTTATTCCTCAACCGTTATCCCCTTCACCATATATTTTGATACCCCAATTCTGCCTAAGAACCGATTTTGAGCATGACAATACCTCAAGTTGTACTGAATGCATTTGTTGATATAATATTAACAGCAATGTGGATGCTATATGTATTAAAGTGGTGCTATGATACGTGTTCAGGTAGAATCTGTCAAACATCATAAACTGGAAGGGTTTAGTAGAGTAAGAAAGTTGGGCACTAATGTAAATAGAATGAAAGAAAATGTTGATTCTTAAACTATTCTGTCTCGAAAAAAACGAAAAGTTAATAAAAAAGAACATAATTGGGTGGGAACATTGCAAAGAATCAATTGAATTGAATTATATTTGTTAAAAATATTGTAACTTAATTTATTTTTAACTTGTGCATATTTTTATATTCTTGCTAAACTTGTGAAATTAAATTTGCACAACTTTTTTTTAATTATCCAACTTAATAATTTCGATCGCATTAATAAATCACGCGTTAGGTGTGGCTGACTGCACCACTAACCTGGCACACATTCAAGACATGCGGCTATAACTAGTTATGTTGTCATGATTAAACAAATTAAATGTTCGATCATCATCTTTATACTATGGATATTAATTAACTAAGTATTTTGTCAATAGCGATAATGACTTAAGGTTAGTATATTTTTTGCAAATATATATACGTATATATAATTACCTTATTTATATATTAACTAACAATTGTATTATATTTAGTGTTATAACAACTAATTAACTTATCGTCACTAGATATTATACGTATTAGCGCTTAAATATTACATATTAGCTATCAAAAAAGCTTTGAGCTTAAACATTATATTAGCTATCAAAAAAGCTTTGAGCTTAAACATTATATTAGCTATCGAAAGAGCTTAATTAATGTAATAACAATATTACGTATATCATTTTTTCTCATAATATACTAGTATTTTTTTTAATATAAATACAGCCCTGTTTTCTTTTTTATTTCACATTTTTCTTCATAAAACATTATTAAAAATGGGTACGTTTAGTTAATATATCAAATTGAGCAAAATTTAAATTTGCCTTTTGCTAACATCTAAATTTTTATAGAATACGCACGTGAACAAGAGATTATAAGATTATTATATTTAATATCTCTATACAATTCAGGACATATCCAAACAATCTAATTTCTTGATGAAGGAATAACAATTACTTATACAAACAATAAGCAAACTCAATTTTATTTTGATACGGTGAGGGCATATAATAAAGATGGCTTCGAGAATAAAATAACTGATAATCTCAATACAATTCTTATTGTAAGTGAAGACCCTAGCATTGAGGGTAATGAAGATGCAATTGTAAAATATTATTCATTCGATTTAGGTATATAATTTTAGTTTTATTGCACTTAACAAAAGATAAGCTTGTCTTTTATTAATATATTTTAATTTATACTTTTGATTAAAATTTAAAGATATTGAGGAAAATATTGATCTGAAAGAAGGAAATAATAAAGATGACCATATAAATTTTGATCCGAAAGAAGGAAAAGAAGTATATAATAAATGCAACCAAAATAAAAAGAAAAGCAATAATATAGAAAAAAGTGTAGCAAAAAAAAATAAAATAAGTATGGCAGAGGAAAGTGAAGATGAGTCTGAAGAAAACATTGAAAATGGTAAATTAATAGAGGGAAAAAAAGAGAGTAACAAAGTGGAAAGAAGTAATGAGATAGAAGAAATAGAAGATGACAAAGAAGAATTTGGAGATAACGACGAAATTGGAGATAATAACAATGAATTTGGAGATAATGATGATGAAATTGGAGATAACAATGATAAATTTGGAGATAACAACAACAAAATTGGAGATAACAACGATGAATTTGGAGATAATGACGACAAATTTGGAGATAATGATGATGAAGATAAAGAAGAAATAGTAAATAAAAAAAGAAAGATTAAAGAATTACAACATTAAAAAACGTATGTATAGATAAATAAATAAATTCTTTTATAAAAATGAATATTTACTAATTATAGTTTTTAATTTTTGCAGGGTTTAAATCTGATATTTCTCTAACCGGTAACAAACTAAGAGCCACAAAACTATATAAAGAATTTCTTTTATTAGAAGAAGGGCTTCCTTTTATTGCACCATTTTTTGATAACAATGCACAAGTTCACAAATTAGATTATTATAAAAATATAAAAAAACATTTAAAAACTATAATGTATCAGAGTTCGACTTTAAAGATAATTCAATTTGATTCTTCGTTGATTAATGGAGCACTTAGTATGAACCTATATCAAGAAGAACAAGATCCTGCTACTTCAATTCTATCAGAATTTGATGATAGTAACTTGCGAGATCAAATTTATTTGTTGCGAAAAGTTCCTGAATTACCATCTGATATTTTAACTAATACATTATTATCTAACACAAACAATCAACAAATATCAATGTTTTCTTCTCTTATGAGTATGTGCTACAAATCAATTCATAAAGTTGAAATCAGTTCATATAATTTAGAATTATATCGAAGAATGTCTTTAAGATTTTTGTATGAATTCGAATTAGCGTACTGTTATATGAAAGATTTTGTAATTAAATATACTAGTCGAACAAAAAGAATGAAATCTACTATGCAAATCAATGCACTTTTTACTGGAAGAATTACACTACAAATATTCAAAGTACTACTTCTGAAACTTTTCTAGTTCATTAACCTATTAAGCAAAAGAAAAAAAATTGGTTACATTAGATAAGATATCAATTAATATTCCAGAATTTTGTGGAAAGGTTTCAGTATGCAAACTTAAAACATTTACTATTGCTGGGCCATGCTTAATTGAGCTTCTTAAAGCTTTAAATAATAATTGAGTAATACTTGACTTAGTTGATTATACAACTATAACTTGGCTTGCAAATATCAAAAAAGATGAATGAGTAGAACTTATTTATCAAATTACTTCAAATCAATAAACTTAATATTAGTAAATTTTAATGTATATAGATAATTTTTGATTTAGATTTGCTTAATATATAGCTTATATTACAAAATTAATAAATTGTTATTCAAATTTTGCTTTTAAGTAATGCCAAAAAATATTAAACATTATAGATTAAAATAAAATATTGTATATACAGTATAAAAAATAGACAAGTTATCGAAAAGTAAAATTAAAAGCCCGATTTTTGTTTTGATTACGTATGTAATTTAAATTATTTGAATATAAATACAATATTTTCTTTTTTTTTGTACCTTTACTCGTTTTTTCATACTTTTACTCTTTCTTTCATGCTTTTACTTCTTGTTTCATGTTTTTACTCTCTCTTTCAAACTTTACACTTTCTTCATATTTTACTTTTTCTTTCAAACTTTACTCTTTCTTTCATACTTTTGCTCTTTCTTTTATACTTTACTTTTTGTTTTATACTTTTACTCTCTCTTTTGAACTTTACACTTTCCTTTGGGCTTTTACTTTTTCTTTAAAAATTTACTTTTTCTTATACACTTTTATTCTTCTTATATATATATTTTATATATTTATACCTTTACAAATGGATAATATTAATCAAGCTATTTCTGGTTCGAAAACTTCAACACCATCAACTGTAAAGAGAATTGCTAAAGCACTAGATACTGTATTCGAAAATTTAAATGAAACTAATTCCAAACTAAACCATATTAACGAAGTATTTAGCAACATCAAGAAACTGTTTCTATTCAAGCTACAAAGCTTCAAGACATGTATAATAATTTAAACACAACAATTCAAGAACCATTTTTTACTTTAAGCATGAATATCTTAGAAATACATGATAAAGTCACTGAATATACTGATGATCAAAAAATATATTAAATATTCTTGAAAATATTAGATCTGAACACTCTCATGAGCCACTTTCAGAAATAATTAATCCAAAAAATAAATCAATTAAGAATTCAACTCGATATTCTACATCACATTCTACTTTGTGGAATTCGATTCGTCACAAGATAAACAGTCATCAAAATTCTGAAAATATAGATGAAACCTCCTTCAAGTTTAACTTAGAAAAACCACCAGGTAATCATTATAATCAAGAAAGGATAAATAATTACATAAAATTTTACCTCAAAGATTATAATAAAAGAAGTGAAGATTTACGTAAGTATATAGAAGCATTATTATATATATATATATAAATATTTGAATAATATATATATATATATTTATAAATAATAGGACAAAGAGAGTTATGGAGTGAAGATACTATAAGAGATATAATTATTAGATATGTTGGATATCTTCACAAACAACATATGTCTTCAAAAGAGAAAATTGAAAGTAATAAAGTGTTTAATAGAAGAAGAGCACAAAAAATTCAGGTATATGCAGCTTATGTAATATTTTTAATCTTTGTATGACTTTATAATAATTAATATAATTTGTATTAATTATATATATATTAGAAAGCAAAAAAATGATATAAGTGTGCAAAACTTATAAATCTTGACAAATTAGGTCAATCTTTATCCGATATTGAAAAAGTAATAAAACCCGAATATAAAAGTCCAGAAATTAGTAGTAAAGAAAATAAAGAAGATGTATTTTATATTGTTCAAATTCCATGGCGAAATCAAAGTGTAAGTTTATAGTTTAAATATAAATTTTGTTTAATTAATAATATAACTTATTTAGTTTATATTTATATAGCTTTGCGAACTAATTCAAAAACTCGATCAAGAAAATGAAAAAAAAGAAAGATCTTCAAAGTGTCAGAAAAAACACAAAGGTAGTCCATCTACATTATGTATTGAAGTAAATCAAGATCATGAACAATTTGATAATTTAAAGACCCATTTACCTGTTGCTCTTAATTCAGATGATGTTAATGATAGTATTTGGCTAGCCTGGGCTTTACCAGATAATCATAATGATACTAATCATGACTTCGAATCTGATAATTAAATTGTTTTTCAGTAAATATTTTAATATATTTTTATAATAATTTAACTTATAATTTAATATTTATTACATATTTTTTAATAGAAATAATCTAATATGTTACAAAAATGCTTAAAAAAATAATAATTTAATTATTCAAATTATATAGTTAAAAACAATAAATATAATTTATATTATTTGTATTTAGCATAAATATATAGTAAATTATTCGATAATATATAATAAATATATAGTAAATTAATTAAATAATAGTGAAATTCTATTTTCACCCGGGTGATTTTCACCTGTCACGTGATCTAGGGCCGTGGGCCAATCAACTTTGCCGATCTGCATATATATGCAATTTTGGCACTCAAATTAAAATTTTAAACAAGGTTATCTCGACACTTACCAACCCAAATTCGATCAAACCTTTTATTTGCATTCTACAGATACGTAGAATTCAAATAAAAAAAAGTTGCTCAAATTTAACTTGGTGGTTGATGAGATATCTTCACTCAAAGTTTGAGAAAAAGGTTGGCGCAGCTTTATTTTGATAGACGTTTTGGGGTTTCTTAAACTTTGAGCGAAGATATCTCATCAACAACCGGGTCAAATTTAATAAATTATTTTTTTTATTTGAATTCTACAGATTCGTAAAATTCAAATAAAAAAAAGATTATTGAATTTGACCTGGTGGTTGATAAGATAACTTCGCTCAAAGTTTGGGAAAAAAGGTTGGCGCAGCTTTATTTTGATAGACGTTTTGGAGTTTCTTAAACTTTGAGCGAAGATATCTCATCAACCACCAGGTCAAATTTAATAAATTCTTTATTATTTGAATTTTACAGATTCGTAGAATTCAAATAAAAAAAAGTTCATCAAATTTGACCTGGTGGTTGATGAGATAACTTCGCTCAAAGTTTGGGAAAAAAGGTTGGCGCAGCTTTATTTTGAAAGACATTTTGGGTTTTCTTAAACTTTGAGCGAAGATATCTCATCAACCACTAAATCAAATTTAATTATTTTTTTTATTTGAATTCTACAGAACCATATAATTTAAATAAAAAAAAGATTATTAAATTTGACCTGGTGGTTGATGAGATAACTTCGCTCAAAGTTTGGAAAAAAAAGTTGGCACAGCTTTATTTTGATAGACGTTTTGGGTTTCTTAAACTTTGAGTGAAGTTATCTCATCAACCACCAGATCAAATTTAATAAATTCTTTTTTATTTGAATTCTGCATATTTGTAGAATTCAAATAAAAAAAAGTTCATCAAATTTG